GGCGCGGATCACGGTCTCCGAGCTCCAGCTTGGAAATCCCGAGTGGGGTTTTGGTCTGCGCCGCAGTCGCGTGCTCGCTAAATCACGCGATCTGTCACACGCAGCTCGGGGTCTGCGCTGGGGACGTGGGCTCCCGCCTTCCTTCCTTCCATTTTCTGTCGCATCTAGACAGCTTATTTCAAGTCACGCTTTGGAGGAAGACTCAGACATGACTGTGGGTAACAACAGCGACTTGAAATAGGGAATTTGCATATATAAACGAGTGTGGGAACGTTCGGGTGCAAAGTACCTTGTGATGACTGGGAGGAGGAAACTTCCCATGGTGGCCGTGCCAGCACGGCTTGCTTGAGGCTTTGGTGAGCTCAGAAACAAGTTGCTGGGGTGGAAGGGTTTGTCCTCGCTTGCTCAGGGTCTAATTAACGCTCCTCGGGGGCGGAGAGGTGCGAGGGAAGAGGACAAAAGGTTGGATGTGTGTGTGTGAGGGCGGTGTGGGATGAGCCGCGGCTGTGGTATGTGTCTGTGGGTTCCTCAGCCACCCGCCTGCTCCAGCCTTGGAAACCTCCGACGGGCCGGGGCGCTTGGCGGCGACACGCCGAGGTGAGAGAGATTTTTAGTGCTCTTGCAATTTTTATTTTTTTTTTTTTAATGGGGAAGTTAGTTTATAAGTCAATCACCAGCTTGATTTACTTATCCCCGTGGGGCTGCATCATTTGTGGAGGAGGAAGGAGCCAAGGAAGTGCTGGCGCTGCGGTTTGGGGGTTGTCGGGCTGCAGCTCTCCCCTGCGCCTCCGTCCCCTCTGCAGTGCGGGGGGCGGAACAGCTTCCTAGGACAGATGCCACGGAGACAAATTCTAAATAGTTTGACATGGATGGACGCTGAGAGTAGGGAGTGAGCAGCAGCTCCCGTCAGGAGCCGGGAGGCCGAGGAGCGCTGGGAGCCGTTCTCAGACGCGTGTGTAGTTCGGCGTTCTCCCGCCGCGTTCCTGGCAGGGCGGCTTTTGTCTTACCCCAGGTTCAGGGCAGAGTCGTTGCGCCTGTGCGAGCCCCAGGGTTGTGGCTGTTTGGGCCGCGCTGGCTTGGCCCAGTACAACTCGGCGCAGGGACGCAGAGTCCTTCCAGCATCCCCGAGGGCGGCGGGAGAGCCGGTGAGCCCCGCCGCGGGGCCGCGCGCCGGGATGGCTGTTAGGAGCCGTGCGGAGCGAGCTCAGGCCGCCCGCGGTTGATCCTTTACCTGATGCTGTTCCTTCCAGCGTAAAACCACTGGTCTGGTGTGGGAGGGCTTTGACGTCCCAGCTTGCGGCACCAATTCAGCCGAGAGGAGCTGAACTTGTCCTCTGCTCGTGGTGCTGCCCAAGCGAAGGCTCCCAGGGCGGCTCCGTCCCGGGGCTGGACGCGCGGCGCTTGCGTTGGACGGAGGAGCCTCACGGCCTCTCGTTGCCCTTTTCCCTGGAAATTCACCTTTTTTGCTCTCCCTCTGCCATTTGCTCCGTGTTGTGGGTCCTTCGAGATGGAAGCGGTGCTACTCCCTGGGAGATAAGTTCCCCAGCAGGGGCACTTTACGGGCAGAGTTTGTCCTTGGGGAATGTCTGGATCCTGGCGTTTGGTTTTTTGGAAGCAGAGCGAGGCCCTGGTGCTGTGCAGAGGTTGAATCTCCTTCGGCCGGGTGTGAAAACCGGGTGGGAGCCCATCCGTGTCGGTGCCGGGTCTCTCCTGGAAGAGGGTTTCAGACTTGAAAGAGGGCACAGCATCCCCCAGGAAGAATGATTTGTCCTGGCCTCGGCGGTGCTGGCAGCCCCCGCCCATGTCTGCTGCGTCGCTCGCAGACCCTTTGTGCCTCAGTTTCCCCAACCCCTCAGCTGTCAGCTCCTAAGTCGCACCGAGTCACTCTGCAGCGGGTCCGGAGGGGCTCTCCCCTTAGCGGGGTGAGGGGCACCCGCAGGACGTCCTCCTCCGGCCCCCGGCGCTGCTGCGATGTTTTCTACCCCCATCCCGCCCCTGTGGCCTTCCCGAAGGCACAGCGAGATGTCGGAGGCCGTCAGTGCTGAGCAAAACAAAAAGTAATGCAGCGTAATAGAGACCAGATGTCTTGGTGAGGCTTCATCCTGTCCTCCTGGTTGTTTGCCAGGGCTAATATTTCTTATTCAAGTCTTTTTTTTTTTTTTTTTTTTTTTTTTCCTGTAAAGCCCCAGCTCTGTTCCCGTAGATCTCCCTCTGCTTTTGTCCCTTCCCGGAGGAACTGTGCTCTCGAATCGCTGCCCCGACACGCGGCGGCTCCGTTGGTGGTTTCTCTGCTAATAGGGGCTTCCCTTTATTTCGGATTTAATCATCGACTTCGGGGCCGTTCCACCAGCGAGAGACTTGGCCCGTTATGGCTGTGGGTGGAGGATGAGCCGCACGAATTCAGCTCAGCCTGTTTTCCAGACTGGATTGCTTCATTGTGTGCAGCCGATGGGGTTTTTATCCCTGTTGAGACCAGCGATTTGGAGTAGGGGAGTTATGCTGAGCCTCCGGAGGTAAACAGTGCCTTGTGATACGTTTAACGAATGCGAGTCACGGCGAAACGCAGGGAGGTGCGGGAGGCGGGGAGCGAGTCCCCTCGCTGGGGTTTTAGGGAGCTCTAGGAGTGGAGACGTGTCCTTGGCGGGCTCCGGGCGGCCCCGTTGCCGAGATGTCACCCAAGAAGGTGGCTCTGTAAGCGCCGGGGGGGTGGGGCCGAAGAGCAAAATAATAATACTAATAATAATGATGAAAAAAAGCAGTGCGCTGATTTTTAAAAAAAAAAAAAAAAAGGCAACGCGTGGATTTCAAAGCCGTGCCTGCGGCGCGGAGGTAACCCCGCAGGCCCGTGGGTGGATTTATCTTGCGCAGTTCCTTAATCCACGTTTAACCCGCT